CACCTGGCAAGGCCTAGTTCTTGTTTTTGATTCAAAAGTCATATACCTATTTCTGAAATCTCATAAAACTTAAACTTTCTTTACCTTGGTTTCCTCTATTCATCTTTGTAATCATCTTTCAAATCATGTTTCAATTTTATACATCTCTCAAACTTCTAGTAGTTTATTAGCAGAATTAAAATGAAGAATTAGTAGTTCAAACCCACATATTCTGAAAAATCCAAAGATTGAAAAGCTTTAAAATACCAGAGTACTAATTTACTTTATTAGTTTTTCCTCCATTTTTCATTTAATCACAGCATATGCTGTATTTTTAGAAGTTTATATTTTCTCCCTAAGTTGGCTTCACTTGTCTTTTTTTTAATCAATTCTCCAATGTGTCAGTTATTTTCCATTCCTGTCCTATCATCAGAGTGATTACAATTCCTTTTTTATTTGGAATCACCTGCACATGAATATACACATGTTCAAAATTCTTCTATGAAAACAAAACAAATGCTAACACAAACAAAACATCAGTCAGTCACACCACTACAGCAAGACACACTTCCTGTTTAGGTCTGCATCGGCCCCCTAACCAGGGTCTTCTTACTTCCCATTTTGAGTTAACGTTTCCTTAACTCTCTCTGGCAAGAATCACAACAATGGACCCTACAGCAGAAAGTGCAAATTAAGGCAGCCAGGCTGAGACAGCAAACTTGTCTGTCCAGTAAAGTGCAACTTCAGAATGACTCCCAGCTTCCCGCTCTCCACCAGTAACTGTCTTCCTTCTCCTCTCCCAGTTAGTCTCTGAGCTTGTGCTTTGTCTACCTAAATTGTCCCCATTTTGCCAAAGAGGAAACTTAGGCTCATAGATCAAACAACTCTGGCTTTACAAAAGTTGAACTTCCAACTGACAGCCAGCTCATTCAGCAGTTGTCTTGTCCTTGCTCACAGTGCTATGACAGTAAAAGAAATCTTTGAAAGTAAAGTCTCAGCCTGCTATGAGTCTTGGTGTTTATCTCCATCCTCAGCTCTACAGATGCCAGAGTTTGCCTAGGATGAACCAGAGAGCTGTCCAATGTGTGCGTACCAGCTTGACATGTATGTGCCACTAATACCAGCATGTTTAAGCATAAAAAACTAATGCATATAAGATGCTTTCTCTGCTTCAATACTATTAACATTTTAGGCCAGAAAATTCTTTGTTGTGGGAGTTTGTCCTGTGCAATGCAGGATATTTAGCAGTATCTCTGATCTCTATCAATTAGAATGCCAGTAGCATTTACTTTCATTCTAACAACCAAAATGTCTCCAGACATTACCAAATGTCCCCCTGAAGAGCAAAATCAACCCCAGTTAAGAACCACTGGCATATACTAAAAGAAAATGAATTAATGAAAAAGCAGGTAACATTAATGAGGTAATTCTCTGCCTTACAAAACGTTTACCTATGGTTTCTTCAATCAATTTAATAATTATGTACTCTTTAGTAAGATACAATACACACAAGCCTCAGTATCTTCACTTTTAAACTGCTCTAAATCCCTCTTCGGTTAAGTATTCTATTAATGTATGACTCTAAGTGCTTTATTGCCAGACAGAGAGGTCGTGAAATCTAAAAATACAGTGTTAGAAACTATAACAAAGCAATGAGAAATTAGGAAGAAATGTTCCTGAGACTGTACTATATCACTGAAAAATATGATCACTTAAAAATATGGCATACTAATTTTTTTAAAGTACACTTATGGTCTAAAACAGCACTGTTTAAACATTATAATGCAAGCCACAAGTATAATTTTAAATTTCCTAACAACCAGATTAACAAAGTAAAAAAAAAAAAAAAAAGTTACATTTAATAATATATTTTTATTTAACTCAATATATCCAGATTATCATTTTAACATGTAATCAAGTAAAGATTATCAGATATTTTACATTTTTTTTTCTCTTGAAATACACTGTGCCCTTTATCTATAGCATGTCTGAATTTGCACTAGGCATATTTCTAGTGCTCGATAGCCACATGTGACAAATAGCTACAGTAACAGCCAAAGAATAAGGGCAAAGAATGAGCATTCATTTTTCATCTTTACCAGATAATGAAGTATTCCACAGATATAAATTATCAATAACTGAAGTTTACCTTTTCAAGTAAAATTTATCCTTTCATTCATTATTAATACATCTTTTTAAAGCATAATACACACCACAATACTATTTTATTATTTTTTAAAATTGAGATGGAGTCTTGCTCTGCCACCCAGGCTGGAGTGTAGTGGCGCCATCTCGGCTCATTGCCATCTCTGCCGGGATTAAAGCGATTCTCACGCCTCAGCCTCCTGGGTAGTTGGGATTACAGGCTCCTGCTACCACGCCCGGCTAATTTTTTTTGTATTTTTAGTAGAGACGGGGTTTCACCATATTGGCCAGGCTAGTCTTGAAGTCCTGACCTCAGGTAATCCACCCACCTCAGCTTCCCAAAATGCTGTGATTACAGGTGTGAGCCACTCTACCTGGCCTACCATAATACTTTTTAAACGAAGGATTATGATAAATACAACTCATTCTTTGCTTGATAATAATACAACTGTATTATGTTTTATATTTCAAGTCTGTTAGCTTTTCTGGCTTCTTCCTAGATACCCAGGTGTTTTACCACTGCCAGACTAGAATCCATCAGATGAACTGAAAACTAACTTCCCAGAGCTGTCCAACTGTGGGATGCCCAAAAAAAGTCAGGATCCCCTGCTTTGGAGGATGTGGTAGGTCACCTCATTTAAAAGACTGTTTCAAGCTTTGGGTATTAAAAAGAGCCCATGTGTAAAATTCCTCTTCAGAATATCCACCATTTCCCCAAATCCCCATGTTAGGAACAGTCTCTTTTCAGCCTTGATTTCCACTTCATCCTTTGTTTTCATCCTCTGTTCCCAGTTAATCTAGGAGTTCTAATTGTAGGGTGAACACATGCCCTGGTGTGCCAGAGAGTCAAAGTTTACCACTATTGTTCTAGCATAATTACTAATAGAGCACCCTTTCGTTCTTCAAATTGTCTTAGTTTGGACAATTATGCAGCTATCCCAGCTAGTGGTCTCTATTGGTAAGTCTTAAGCCAGCAGAGACTAATGATCAGTCCTTGCCGACAGGTGAAGGGTATATAAGTACTGTGAAAATAACACTTCATTTTAATTATTATCAATATTTCTTATTTCTGACACATTAAATCTTTCTCTTTAGCTGCTTGTCCCTTTTATGTGGTCACCTTGTTCTAGTGACCCTGGAGTTCTGACTGTATCTTTCAATATTTTACTTATTACTTGACCCCAATCCACTGCTTATTTGGTCTTTCAGAGTGCGTGCGTGCGTGCGTGCGTGTGTGTGTGTGTGTGTGTGTGTGTATGTATCTTAAATCTCTACTGGTACAAAAGTCCCATTACTCACAACCAACATTTTCTGCTTCATAAAATTCTCATCTTTGCTTCCTAATGTCTTGTAAGTTGTCTCATATTACTATCTGCTACTAGCCTCACCCTAGCAAAAAACGCTCATGATCCCAAACGGTTTTAAATATCAGTCGGGTTGTGAAGCACAAAATGATTCACAACCCCACTCATATGTCCTGTCAATAATAATAACCATATATATGTGTATTATTATTATTATTATTATTTTTAAGAGAAAGGGTCTTGCTCTGCCACCCAGGCTCGAGTGCAGTGGTGTGACCATAGCTCAATGCAGCCTTGAACTCCTCACTCAAGTGATCCTCTTGTCTCAGCCTCATGAGTGTCTGAGACTACAGGCACCACTCCCAGCTAATTTTAAAAAATGTTTTTATGTAATCAGGTTCTCACTATGTTTCCCAGCCTGGTCTTGAACTCTTGGCCTAAAGTGATCCTCCCACCTCAGCCTTCCAAAGTGCTGGCATTACAGGCATGTGCCACTGCACCTAGTCCTAATAATAAATAATCATAACTTTATTTTTCACAGAAACAGAACATCTCACATGGTAAGACACATGTCTTATAATACATGCTTGTTATGCCTGATAATTTCAGGGACACATAAAGGGGTCAAAAATAGCTTCAGCATTCTAAGTGCAGAGGTATATTCTACTTGATTTCCAGCAACAGGAATAAAAAGAAATAATCTTTATTTATTAACCTTTACATGCACTGTACAGATTGGGAAACTGAAGCTCACAGGTAGAAATTGGTCCAGCAATTGTACAGCCGATAGACCATGGAGCTAGGGTTCAGACTGTACTATTTCGATACTGCCAATCGAAGTCTGTGTCAATAAAGCCTTGAATTACAAAACTTGCTAAATGAAGTAGTGAAAGGCTCTGGCTGAAATTAATTCCTAATTTTGGTAAGAAGGTTAAGGAGTTACTCAAAAGAAACAGCTATCATTTCTTCATTGACAAGGGTTATGCAAAGTATTCCTGCTACTACAATTCCATGTCTAAAACTTTCAAAAGGTAATCTTCTGAAAGAAGCTTATTAATTAAAAAGATGACCTCAAACACCACTCAGGTTAGAGTCCCATCTCAAAGCTAGGGGGAAAAATGGGTTACACTTTAGAAAAAGTTTAAAGTAAGAACAGGGGTTATCCGTAAAGAGGGAGCAAAGAGTCGGAAGGTTCATGGCAAATGGGAGACAAGGCTGGGAAGACAAATTTCAGTGTATAACTTTTTATATTTTTTAATTTTTGAATCATTTGACTGCATTATTAAAAAAATTAAATTCTAAAAAAACTAATCTAAAAATCAACCCTAAGTGCTGTACTCTTCACACTGAACTTTCTCTAAAAAACAGTTGTACTTTTAAGGGAAAGTCACTACATGATTCTAGAGAAGAAATGAAGGAAAACCTTTGGAGTGGCTAGACCAGGAGGCCAATGAAAATGACAAAACTATAGTGATTTTAATAGATCTAGTTGCTTAAATCCAAGTTAAAAAAAAAAAAAAAAACCACATATGAACCACACATCTATGCCGGTTTAGCACCAGCATGACTTACCTTTCAGAACAGCAGGTTTAACTGCCATTCTGCCAACCAGGCATTCTTTCAGCATGGATTCATAATTGACCCAACGATGAACCTGGTATGGAAAACAAATGATGGAAAAGCAACATGACTCTAACTCCACAGGATGCTCTCATTTTAGTATGAGCAAAAGTAAACTTTCTGAAACCACTCTCAACACACACCTAAAAACTAAGAACCACATTCAATTAGTCAACCAGGGAATGACAGAAAGGCTGTACAGATAGGGATTGTTTAGAACAGTATCATCAAAGTGTTGGGACCTGTGGAGAATTCTGACAGCCTTTCAGGTCTCCATGAGGTCTCAATTTGTTTCATGGTAATACTAATAAAAAGTTACTTGCTTTTTTCAGTTTTGACATTTGCTCTGATGCTATAAAAGCAATGTTGGATAAAACTGCTAGTATCTTGCATTAATCAAGGCAGTGGCTCCAAATTGTACCAGTAATTATGTTCTTCACCACTACGACAGGGGAAGGAGCATGATGAAGATATTTAAGAATATTTAAGAATATCCTTCATGAAATAGAAAAATTATTAATTAAATTCTGACCCTTGGGTATATATTTTTATTATATTTTGTGTGACAAGATGGGAATTCTCAAAAAGTCTACTGCTATGAAGTATGATGATTGCCCTGTGATGAAACACTTAGACAACTGTTTGATTTGCAAATGGAACTGGGCTTTTTTCATGAAAGGCCATTTGCCACATGTTTACCTATGTAACAATCTGAACATCCTGCACATATATCTCAGAACTTAAAATAAACAAAAAATAAATAAATAAAATAAGAAGAAGACATAAATGCAGCCAACCAGCAATGTGGAAAAGGCTTAGTATCACTGATCATTAGAGAAATGCAAATCAAAACCACAGTGAGATACCATGTCACGCCAGTTAGAATGGCTATTAATATAAAGTCAAAAAAATAACAGAGGCTGGCAAGGTTGCAGAGAAAAGGGGATGTTTATACACTGTTGGTGAGACTGTAAATTAGTTCAACCATTGTGGAAAGCGATATGGTGATTCCTCAAAGAGCTAAAAACACAACTACCATTAGACCCAGCCATTCCATTACTGGGTATATATCCAGAGCAATATAAATCATCCTACCACAAATACACATGCACACAACTGTTCATTACAGCACTATTCACAATAGGAAAGACATGGAATCAGCCCAAATGCCCATCAACGACAGACGGAATAAAGAAAATGTGGTACATATACACCATGGAATACTATGCAGTCACAGAAAAGAACAACATCATATATTTTGCGGAAACGTGGATGGAGCTGGAGGCCATTATCCTTAGCAAACTAACATGGAAACAGAACACCAAATACTGCATGTTCTCACTTATAAGTGGAAGCGAAATGATGAGAACTCCTGAACACAAAGAAATGAACAACAGACACTGGGGCCTACTTGAGGGTGGAGGTTGGGAGGAGGGAGAGGAGCAGAAGAAATAACTATTGGGTACCAGGATTAGAACCTGTGTGATGAAATAATCTGTATAAAAAACCCTCATGACACGAATTTACCTATAAAACAACCTGCACACATACCCCTGAACATAAAATAAAAGTTTTAAAAAAATGAACAAAAACAAAGAAGGGCCATTTATAAGAACTACTAGTAAACAAACTGATTATTCAGACTCAGATATTTAACAGGTATTTTCCTGAAAATAAACTGTGATTCTACTGCTTCAAGGAAAACAACTGATAGTATTTGTTGTCAGGTGCCACTGGTGGAAATTATATTTAAAGAACCTTTCTGCAAGGCACCTTCTCAATATGCCTTAAAAGTCGTAAAATAGGCCAGGAATCATTTTAAGGTGCCATGGCTCATGCCTGTAATCCCAGCACTTTGAAAGTCTGAGGTGAGAGGATCGTTGAGCCCAGGAGTACAAGGCTGCAGTAAGCTGATCACGCCACTTCGTTCCAGCCTGGGCAAAAGAGTAAGACCCTGTCCGAAAAAAAAAAAAGGGGGCTTGAAGCATGCAGCTCTTTCACTCAGATATTTAGGAATTTACCTGAGAAAATAATTGCATATATATAAAGATGTAGGTGCCAGAAGAGTCATCACGGCACTACTTAAATTAGCAAAATATTGGAAACAATCTAAACGCCCAATTGTAAAAGACCAGTAAAGGAAAATCGATATATAATACTATTCATACAATACTATATAATCATTAAAATAATCGGCCAAATAATGTTAATACTAGAATCTTTATGGTACATTCCAGAGTAAATAAATATACACTAAAATAGTAAGTATGTGAAGTATTGAAAGAAGATAGCTGACTAGAGGCATTTCATACTCGTCTCCTCCACTAAGAACCAAGACAGTGAGTAATCACATTCTGAATAGATCATCCAAGAGAGACCACTGAAATTCAATAGCAAACTGACAAGAAATACTTAAAGGAAGTGGAGGCAGCCTATGGGGCCGGGATGCTGAGAGAGACTCAGGTTAGAGAATCTTAGCAGTCCACATTCCCACATGGACTCCTGCAATCCTAGCCACAGAAGAACCCTTCAACCTTCGCAGGCCCTGAAACTAAAATAGAGAGCTGCTGAAAGATTCTGTGATGGCACTGCTCCAGGGAGGGAGCTTGCACTGCGTTTCATAAGCTCCCTGAGACCTAAGCCGCTTCAGTAAATGTGTCATTTTAGAGCCCTACCCCAACAAAATGCACACTGTACTAGAACCCAGCAGCATCAGGACTGAAGTGCAAGAGAAGCATGGCTGCTGCCCCAGGTGTTTAGATGCAAGGAACTGCCAGCTAATGTACCATGGGCCGAGGCAAGAGCAAGGTAGCAGGGCTGAAGAACAGGTGATACACTCCTTCCCCATCCACTGGGCTAGGCTGCCTGCCACTGAGGCAGTACCATTCTGCCCAGTGGCAGGGTATCACCACAACTCCTGTCTCCCTCCATCTGAGCATTCCACTGGTAGCCTGGAGATCACCCCTGCCTACCATGCCTACCATGGCTGGCCTCAACTCCCTCTGCCTTTGCCATAGCACATTTTGAGGGCCAGGTGATTGCTCAGCCCAGTCCAACACACTGGCACCTGAATACTCCTCCCAGGGGCCTGAGCTTGGACATACCAACCTGGCTGTTACCACCACAGCTAGCACCTCCTTGCACATGCCATCTGCAGGCTTAGAGACTGGCCTGCACAGCCTATAACAGCCTCCATCAACATAAGCATGTACCACCTGGGACCTAGAGGTCACCCCGCCACTGCCACTGTCATCACCCATGCCATATCACCTGCCCAGGTGCCCAAGAACTCACCCACTGCTTCCATTACTGGGATCCAACTAGGCCACCAAGAGGCCCAAGAATCAGCTTGCCTTGATGCACTAACCCTGGTGCCAGCATATGTCATCCTGGGGCCCAGGGACAAACATGCTCAGCCCACTGCTCCCACCACCAGGACCCAAAGACTAACCTATCTGGGGTTCCAGTACCCAGCAAAACTTCACCGCAACTTCCACCAATAATTGTACCCTAAGACACTAAGGAAGTCACAGTCATCATTGATGCTGTTTACAGCTGAAGAAATCACATAGAGACTATACTACTGCACATATCCAGGATCAAAACCAAAGTGTCCTACCCCACCAACACTACAGATGCATCTACAGGAAAAAGTTCTCCTATATGAAAGCAAATTGAAAAAACTGAAAGAGGGCCAGGCATGGTGGCTCACACCTCTAATCCGAGCACTTTGGGAGGCCAAGGCAGGCAGATCACCTGAGGTCAAGAGTTCAAGACCAGCCTGGCCAACATGGTGAAACCCTGTCTCTACTAAAAATACAAAAATTAGCCGGGTGTGGAGGAGCGTGCCTGTAATCTCAGCCACTCGAGAGGCTGAGACAGAACTGCTTGAACCCAGGAGGTAGAGGTTGCAGTGAGCTGAGACTGCACCACTGCACTCTAGCCTGGGCAACACGGTGAGACTGTCTCTAAAAACAAACCAAAAAACAAAAACTGAAAGAAGTGACTGTTACACCAGATGTACAATATCAACAGGACACAGGAAACATGAAAAAGCAAGGAAATATGACACTTTCAAAGGAACACAATAATTCTCTGGCAACAGATCCCAATCAAAAATAAATTTATGAAATACTAGAAAAAGGATTCAAATGATTGATTCTAAAGAAGCTCAGTGAGGTATAACAGAATTATAAAAAACAATGCCAAAAAAAAATTCAGAATATAAATGAGAAATTAACCAAAGTGATAGATATCATGAAAAAGAACCAAACAGAAATTCTAGAACTGAAGAAGTCGTTGAATAATATACAAAATACATCCAAAGCTTCAACAATAAACTAGATCAAGTAATAAAAGAATCTCAGGATGTGATAACACCTCTTTTGAAATAATCCAGTCAGGCAAAAATAAAGAAAAAGGAATGAGCAAAACCTTTATCACATATATAAAGCAATCAAATTTTTGATATTGGGCTGAAGGTGAAGAGAGAATGAAAGGGTTACAAAATGTGTTTAGGAAAATAATAATCAAAAACTTCCCAAGTCTAGCAAAAACAATTTAGATATCCAGGTACAGGAGACTCTGAGACGCCCAAATGGACAGAATGCAAAAAAGGTCTTCATGGCATATTAGAATCAAACTGTCTAAAGTCAAAGGCAAAAGACAGAATTTCAAAAACAGCAAGAGAAAAGCATCTAGTCACCTATAAAGGAACCCCCATCGAACACCAGATTTTTCAGCAGAAACCTAATAGGCCAGGAGAGAATGGGATGATATATTTCAAAGCACTGAAAGAAAAAAACCAAAACTGACAGCCAATAAAGGAGAAATAATTTCCCAGATAAGTAAAAGCTAAGGAAATTCATTACCACTAGACTGGCTGTACAAGAAACAGTAAAGGGAGTCCAAAACCTGGAGTAAACAGATGACAATGAAGACACACAATAACATACAACTCACTGGTAATCACACAAATAAGGAAGAAAAGGAACTCAAATGTTCTACAGAAACACTACAGAAAACCACCAAACC